TGAAGGGAAAGTTAAGAGGGAAGAGATGAGGAAGTCCTGTTTTGCATAGCCCGGTGCAATAGCAATAGCACTTAGACTTTTATACCGCTTCACGGTGCTTTTTTCAGCCCTCTCTAAACAATTTACAGAGTCAGCATATTTCTCCCAACAATCAGGGTCCTCTTTTTACCCACTCGGAAGGATGGAGGGCTGAATCAATCTTGAGCCTGGTGGGATTTGAACTGCCAAATTGCAGACAGCCGGCAGTCAGCAGAAGTAGCTTAAAGTACTGCACTCTAACCATTGAGCCACCCAATACTTATTTTGGTATAAACAGCCCTAATAAGTCTACTCGCTCAGTAGAAGGAAAATAATTAGACGCTCTCTGCAATGTTGGAATATTCATAAGCTTTCTCTAGTTGACTTAAAGAAGGTGCTGTTTTATTGGATTCCGATTTTTTTTCATGGGCAATTTAAGGGTACCCTGTTTATGAAGGAGCTTGAAAAATCAGACCTAGTTAATACTTGAATGGGAGAGACCGCCAGGAAGTCTCATAGCTATAGATTAAGTTAGGATGTGTTTTTTTGGGGGGGGGGGAATCTCAGAAGGAGGAATTGGCACTCCACTTCTATTTTGTTGTCAAGAAAACAATATGGATTAATTGCTCTAGCTTCTGTGCTTACCAGTGGGGAAATACATGTATATCAGGTCTTTCTATTGCTGTATTTTATTGCCGTCACCCACAATTTAATTCTAGAAATTAAGAAATTTGACTTCAATTCATTCTAAAAGGCAAGACTTTTAAAAAGTTTACATACTAATAACCTGTAGCATTTCTAACACGGTGTTCAGTATACCTTTTTGCAAGGAGCAGCATTAAAAACGTCCCACCTCTGTTATTGTGAAGTGATATAAACCACTTAGAAGATGTTATTTATGCAAAAGCAGAAGTAACTCACAGTTTGGATAAGTGATAATTTATTAAATGTACCTGCCACCCAACTATCAGCAAAAGTTGACAATTATTAAAACATTGTATTTTTTAATCTTTTAGATAATCTTTTAAACTTACAGTTTACATATACAGTTAGTCTGCATAGTTTTGCAAGTAATTGATATTTATGTTTTTCTGGAGGACGTGCCTATTAATTTTTTCAAATACTAGCTTAATTCTTCTTGGACTTAATGGCTGAAGAGAATCATAATATGCTTTTTCTATTAAATGCTATTAAAAATCAGCTTTTATAAGTAAGCTGATTTGTTTACAAATTTGTTTACAAAGCTACCACTACTATGGCTATATAATTGCGTAAAATAATATTGCTTTCAAAATTTAATATTTCTTGATCTATTGTTTAGATTGTCAATGTATGATATGCATGGATAATAGTCATTTCTTAGGTAAAAAATTGCTAATTAAGCAATGTAAAAATTGAGAATCTAACATTGAAACATTAAACATGAAACATTAAGTATTTTGTAAATGGTCTTACGAAAGACGTTTCTTCTTCCTGTTGCTTAACAAGTGATGGAATCTTGCTGATGGGCTATGAGTTAGCAGATTTTGACAATAATTTTTTTAAAAAAATTGCGAATAAAACTTGCAGAGCAGGAAACTACCCTCTATATGTGATGGTGTTAAATATTTGATGTAAAAATATCTGTGTAAATTTTCTATGGAAATATTGCACAATATATTTAAGAATATCACATGACTATGTGGGTTTCTATGATGCCACTTATGTAACTTTGCAAAGAACTTTGGCACGGTATGTGTTCCTTAAGTAGTTGGAGATGACTATCAGCATATCTATGTTCAAAGCACCTATAGGGAGCTTCACCATGAAAAGCACAATTTTCTATCTAGCCTGTATATGTAGCATTTTAGAATGTAAAAACGTACTTAAGACACGCCAATTCAGAAATAGTTGTTTCTACATTAACAGTGCATGTGCATTTTCCTACACAGACAGGAATCCTACTTTCAGTAGATCTCGCTGCAAATTATTTGAGTCAACCTTTGAACATGGATAGGGTAATAGTCATATGCATGCGAACAGTATATCAAAATCTTTTTTTTTTTTTGCCTTGTAAAAGTTGCTTTTTGAAAGTGGATGTGGGATAACTGAAACACATCTGGATCTTGATATGGTAAGAACTGCAGCTATTGGCTGTTTACTGCACAATGCTTTCTATTCCAAGGCAAACATGTGCTAAGACTGTAGGAGATGCAGATGTAACACTTGTCTGCAAGTTATTCAATACATCTGTTTACTGTAAGAAAAAATTCAAAGTTACAATGGCTGAATGAGTGGAATTTATAACCAGTCCTTGAAGTTCTNAAAACAGAGCTTGGGAGCCTGTTTTCACTGGCAGAGTGCTCGGGCCACCACAGGCACCCCTGACACAAGTGACATTGAGCTGGTCATGCCCATCCCAACCTCCTGAGGTCAAACACAACCTCGATGCAACCCTCAATGAAATCAAGTTCAACACCCCTGTTTTACAGGATTAAACCAATCTTGCAACAATGTATATTGCAGGCTTGTATCAGTTTCTGCCCTCTTACACTAAAAAGATTAGCAAATATTCTTTGCTTGACCCACAAAAGATCCCTTAACTCTGCCTAAAATTGCCACCTTCCTATAAGGAAAAAGACTACATAATATTTCTCTGCAAAAATAACTTTGTCCAAGTTCATTAGAAGAAACAATTTTATATATCCCCTTGCAATTCCCTTTTATATGACATATTGCTGAATTAATAGCAACTCTCTTAACTACAATCATGCCTAACCAAAGGGGGAAATGATTTTCCTCATCTTAGCTGATAGATTACAAAATGCCTCCAGATGGGCTGCTAAATTTGTTGCAGTAGTTATTTCTGCTATTTAGTTGTCTAGTAAGCCTGATAATTTATTTTCTCTCCAAGAATATTTGCATTTTATGTCTATTTTAAATCTCATCCGTTAACTTTCTATATGTGCACTTCATATGTTCATATGTTCATATGTTTTTGACATATAATGTAAAATCAATTAAAAAAATATTTCTTTTTCTGTAGTAAAACTGCAGATCTAACTTTAAAGTAATAAAGTAATAATATGGCTTGCACCTTTTTAGCTCGCCTTCAAAGGATCCACCGGGATATTATATGTCTGTATATTTCTGAACAAATGCTCATCTTGAATCAAAGTTTTGCAGTGGTGGGCTACAATGTTCATTTCATTTTTGCAGGAAGAGGAGTAAGGAGATTTCTATTCAGGACATAGTTTAAATCTCTGGCAAGTCAGACCAATAATTAAACAATAATTCTTTGTTTAAAATGATGAGATTGATGGAAGAGAAGGCAATTGCAGGTCATCTCAAATTACTTCTGAGAAATCGGAGAGAAGAAACCATAGCAGTGAACTCACTGCTAAATGAGAAAATGCTAAATTAGAGTGATTTACCTTACGTAGGTAATATTTTTAAAAAATAAAATTCTTTATCTTTTTTTTCTTAACAGAAAAATAGAGAGAAATCAGAACTTGAGGAAATCATGGAGCGACGCCAAGAGAGGATTGATTCTTCTATTTAAGTTATTTTGATTTATTTCAACTTGTAGTCACATATATTTACTTGTAGGAAAAAGGGAAAAAAGGAAAAATATAACAGAGTATCTCTTCAAGTGAGACTGTTGGGACTATCAATGTACATTGCTATTCCGACCAACTGTTCCTTCAGCAATATTGACAAAGGGAACACTCAACTCCCTCATTAATTTGACAAAGCATTGGGAAAGAAGCTGTGTTATTGAATGAAGTATTATATTTTTATATTGCTATATTTTATACATGATGTTACGTCTATGATTTCAGAGCATGAGGATGACCATATTTCTGCTCTAAGCAAAGGTTGGATTGAAGCAAAACAACCCAATCAATCTACGCAGTACCTTTTCTCTGTGGCCCATCAATGCATCCAGAACTGGCTGGAAATACCGTTTGTTATTAGCCAGCAAACCCATGTGCTTTGAAGCCTACATGCTTCCAAATCTTCTGCTAGTTTTGTACAAAACTCAGTAAAACCTGTATCTAGCATGCAGTGGGGAAATCTTTTGCATCACCTTTGCTACATAGAAAAACTTACCATTAGCGGTCAAGATCTTTACATTTGCCTTCTTTTTTTCCTAAAATTATTCCCCCCCCCCCCCAAACTGCTTTTAAAAAAAATTACATGCAATCAAAAAAGTTCTTGGGGAAAGTACTTTGCACTGTAGTAAGTTGGGTTCATCCAGTGGTAGTTTAATGATTAACTGCTTCATTTATATTGAAAGTGATAGCATTCTTTGCTTGCAAAAACACATCTCTCCTTTCTTTGCATAGGCTTTTCTATAGGCTTTGTCCGCTCGTGTACGCACACACGACTTGAATGACCTTGAATACTTTGCACCTGCCCAGGCTTGACCCCACTTACCTTTGTTCTGATCCTGAAGTGATCATGTGAGGCATCCCTGATAATTTCAACAGCAAATCCAAATAGCCACAGCATTCCAATTGTCTTGTGAAAAGGACTGTCAAGGCATATAAAAGAGTGCATAACTGACCTGGCCCATAGCCATGTATATAAAAACATCTGTTTATTATTTATTAGTATAAGGAGATACCTGGAGTTCTACAGTCCAAGGCTGTACATATTTATTCATGTGTTTAGAACCAAAGCCTCATGGGAAGAGCCCTCAGACTGCTCTGACAGTGGACTCTCTGGTAGCTCTGCAAATACAGATGCAGCAAGATGGAAGAGAGAACAGCATTTCATTTGGTTTTTCCCCCCTAGACTTTTTCTTTTCCCATTTTCTTTTGTGCCTATTTTCTTTTTTAAGTCAAGAGGAAGAAGTTGTTCTCCACCATCTTCAAAATTGGTGTAGATTAAGATTAGGTTTAGGGCATGTCAGGCGCCCCCAAAAGACTACCTATAAGTTTTCAGGATATTCCCTGCTTCCATTTCCCCCAACATTAAACTTCAGGTGTTAACAAAAAAATTTTAACATTTTTACAGAGGTTGGCAAAGAATATTCAAGGTAGATCTCTCCACTCCAGAGAAAAATTGAAGAAGTCTCCCAAATACTCTTCCAAGGGAGTAATCCAAAGAAATACAATTTAGAAATCAGTGTGTTTCTTTGTTTTAATACATTATCACTAAACTATATATAGACCAGAATAAAGGGCTGTAACTATTCTCAGTAACACATGGCAAAAATCTCCAAAATAAAGGTGGACTAAAATGAAAGCCAAACAAATAAATTCACTTTTGCTGATTGGCATGGCTTTAGGATGCTTTCTTATCCTTTTTATCTTAGGGATAGGACAAAATTAGCTCTTTGTTTGGGCACTACTTGATTCATAGGAAGCTTCAGTATCACCCAATTAATAATGATTAATCAAAATACAAGGAAGAACCCAACATATAATTCCAATCTGATGAGATTCTCAATATTCCAAATGCATTCAAACTATGCAATCTGCTTTAATCTGGAGAAGGATGCCCAACGTATGGTTCATGAGACAATTTATTTTGATTCCAGGAACTCCTCTAATGAATATAAACTTTCATAAAGGCTAAATTTATGAGCCATCTGGACAGGAAGAAATATGATATTAGAACATGGCACCTTATGCACTTGACACCATTACTCTTTTATAATTTTTAAAATCCAGAACAAGTTGGTGAAAACTTATATACCCCCTTCCTATGAGTTGTTAGCCGCCCTGAGTCCCCTCAGGGAAAAGGGCGGCCTATAAATAAACCTATTCAAATAAACCTATTCATATTTGGTGGCTAAGTTTTTAATAGGTTCATCACACTAAGTTACAGGTGCCACTATGTCTCCTATCTTTTGTAAAGTAAAGCTCCTCTTTGCTTAATTAGGCATAAGCCAAAATCCACAATCAGTTGTGATTCTCAGATGCTTTTCTTTTTCTGCCTCAATTATGTAATTGGCTGCTTACATCCCCAGTGGGAAGCTATTTAGCCAAAATCAAAGTATGCAATTGAAGTGAGACTGGAGACTTATGAAAATTGCTGTAGTCAGTGTAGGTGAACACAACTCCGTTCAAACTGCAAATCAGTATATAATATATTAGCTGNATATATATATATCTTTTTATTTTAAAGGTTGTCTTTTGATAAAGAAGGCATGGTTAAGAGAGCCAGACAATTCATAGATCTTTATAAAGAAATAGGAATTAGCAAAGATCGCATCCTCATCAAGCTGTCATCAACATGGGAGGGCATCCAAGCTGGCAAGTAAGTGGACCAGGAACAATAGTACAGTATAAGGCTCATTTGGTAGCTATTTTATACTCTGTCATTTTTTGCATAGGAATTTCTATCGACCCTATCTCGTCTATTTTTACCATACACACTTCTTAAAATAGTTCATTTTATGCAGCCCATTCCTCACCCAACATAATAAGACATACATTACCAGACACAGGAAAGCAGCGGGCCAATATTGGACAGAAGCCATGAGGTTGGGTGGGGGTTTCGTAGCCCCCACCCAACCTCCTAAGAAAAAAACATGGTGTGACAAGCCAATTGGCAGCTGCAGTCTAGCCTCATATCAAGGCATAGATGGGCCTGTCAGTTTGGCACTGGTGATGAGCTGTGGTAGTGGGTACAGAAGCAGCCATTCGTATGTCTGACAAATAAATCATTTCAGATTTAAATTACTACTTTTGCCATTTGAACAGATGAAGAGATGTATGCTTAAATGATGTTCAAAACTAGGAAATGTTTTTCTAAGTATATACTGACCAAGCAATCATTCTAATTTGTTGCTGACTCAATTTTCATGTATCTTTTATATTCATACTCAGAATAATTTGCCCTGCGGTGTCATATTCATATCCCTTCCTGGATCACATTACTGTCTGACCTGCAATTTCCATATGCTGAGATTGTCATTAGATGAGACCATATATTTTGATCCCCAGCATGTTTCATCAGTCAAAGCTTTCACAGAACACTTTTTAGTAAGAGGGAGAGTGAGTAGTAGTCACATCCATGTCACAAGTAGCCTTCCCTCCTAATGCTATGGATAATGCCAGTCCATCCTGGCATGTTTTACTCTGAATGGCACAAGGAAAACTGAAATTCTATTTTATTCCAATTGTCCTTATGCTATTCTATGAAAGCTAGGTTCTATAACGCAGAGACCACTTTGCAAGCTAACATACTGTTGCCCATATCCCACTAACCACAAAGAAAAAAAAGTGTCCAGACTCACCGAGAAAGCATTTCTTTTTTTTAAAAGTAATGTGGTTTAAAATAAAATTGTATATACAGCATTGAATAAAATTGCATACATAGCAGAAGTGATACTGATAGGAAAAATAATTCTGCTCTGTTTTATCTTACAGGATCCTTGAAGAGCAACATGGGATTCATTGTAATATGACCCTGCTCTTTTCCTTTGCTCAGGCAGTTGCTTGTGCAGAAGCAGGGGTCACCCTCATTTCTCCTTTTGTTGGGCGCATTCTGGATTGGTATGTTGCAAATACGGACAAAAAAACCTATGAGCCATCAGAAGACCCAGGTAATTGAATAAGTGTGGCTAAGAAATTAACTTCGCAATTGATTCAACCTGCAGTGTTTAGTATTCGAAAATAAGCCCTTCTGAGGGTTTCTTTACCCCTGCCCTGAATAAAGTTGCAGTAATTGCTTTAAATAGTTACCTTATATTCTCTCTTAGGGGTAAAGAGTGTCACTAAAATCTACCATTATTACAAAAAGTTTGGCTATAAAACTATTGTAATGGGAGCTTCTTTTCGGAACACTGGACAAATCAAAGCACTGACTGGCTGTGACTTTCTCACCATTTCCCCAAAACTTCTGGGAGAACTCAGTAAAGATAACAGCAAACTGACACCAAAGCTGAGTGTCAAAGATGGTAAGTTTTCTGTCTTACTTAACATGTGGGGTCCAATAGCTTTAGACAAACACAGCTAAATACAGTTCAAATACAGATTAAAACAATTTAATCATGATCTTTCACCACATCCTCTCAATGTGTTAAAGATTAACTTTTAGTGAAATATCTATAGAGGGCTGTACATTTGTAACTGTTAAGCTTTTCAGTGCTCAATAGATAAGTTCACTTTTTGAATAACTAATATCTCAAAGCGATACATCAGCATTTTTAATATATTTACTGTTCAGGAATATGTAATATTTCTGCTATGGGACTGATTGGATAATATATTCATATTAGTTTGTTAACTAAGCCACAATGGTGCAGTGGTTAGAGTGCAGTACTGCAGGCTATTTCTGCTGACTGCTGGCTGACTGCNATATATGTCGTTTTAAAATTGTCCCCTCATGAAAAAAGAAACAAATTAAAGAGTGCATGCAAGCCAACGCCTCTAGAATTCTTGCCAAGCCTGCCTTGGAATTTTTTCTCCATAGGTATACATTTCATTCTGTTGGGGTTTCTTTTGTAGATTTTTCTTTTCTTGTTAAATCTCTACTATTTTTGTTCAACTATATTGTCATTGTTTTAATTATTACACTCTGAGTTAAATTCAAATATTGCAGATCCTGGGTTGACTGCTTATTTTCCAATTATGAAAAACAGGTCACTTTACTAAAGTGCCTTTTTATTAGGGATGTCTCATTAGTAACGTTCTCACTTACACTAACTTGAATTGGCCTTTTCACTTCGGACATATCATGTTTGTCCCAGGTTATTTTTCCCCCTGTTATTTCGTTGCTCTTTTTAGACTGATTTCATTTAGTGGATTGTATCTGCACAGCATATTGAAATTTGTTTGCACCGTGGTAAAAATCAGTATGTTAATCAGTACAGGACATAGCAAGAAAGATGTTATGGAGAACAGCCCTCCTAATATCAACCAACTTCCTATATGACTTTGAATGAGTCTTTGAATAATATATCATAGCTGCTAATTTTACTAAGAACTGTATCTATCTCTTCTTAATTATTAGTTCTCAATCATATTATATGCAAACAGAATTTCTGGCCCTGGAATAATTACATTAATTACGTTGCTCTATCTTATTGCATATCCTTAAAACAATTCTTATCAAGCTGAGAGGCTAACCATCCATGGCCCTAATCTTTTTATTCTTGTTTGCTGCTTTTCTTTCAACAGCTATCGAAGAATACAAGCCTCTAGATGCTACCACCAACCCATCCCTGATACTGGCTGCAGCTCAGATGCCAGCCTATCAGCAATTGGTAGAAGATGCTATTGCGTATGGAAAGAAACTTGGTGGGTGAGTAAGTTTGCCAATGTTCTAATTTTGCTGTTTTGACAATTAGTTGGGTATTATAAATATGTGTCCTCGCTCTCTGTTGTCTTTCACCTTCACATAAGATACTGGCAGATTTAAACCAGAATAAAAAAATTAAATAATGGCAGAATAGAGGAAGTCAAAGCCCTTCTGCAAACTACTAGCCACTCCCAATTTTCTTCTCATTACAGAAGGAAGAAGGAAGAAAGAAATAGTTGGCTCAAGTGCACCACTAGAGCATGAGTCAGAAGTTTAAGTAGAGTTCTCTTCTGAGGTTGCGTTAATCACATTTGTCCCAGGAGTTAGAGGCTTAAATTAATGTTGATAAAGCTCAGAACATATGTATATATACACATGCACACCTTTGAGTCAGTGATGACTCCTGGTAACTGGCTGGAGAAGTCCCTATGATTTTCTAGGTAAGATTTCAGAAGTGGCTTGCCATTTTCTCCTTCCTAGGGTTGANTTTTTAATAGGTTCATCACACTAAGTTACAGGTGCCACTATGTCTCCTATCTTTTGTAAAGTAAAGCTCCGCTTTGCTTAATTAGGCATAAGCCAAAATCCACAATCAGTTGTGATTCTCAGATGCTTTTCTTTTTCTGCCTAAATTATGTAATTGGCTGCTTACATCCCCAGTGGGAAGCTATTTAGCCAAAATCAAAGTATGCAATTGAAGTGAGACTGGAGACTTATGAAAATTGCTGTAGTCAGTGTAGGTGAACACAACTCCGTTCAAACTGCAAATCAGTATATAATATATTAGCTGTTAAAATTTCATTTACATATATTTTGAATCTGAAAATATATAAATCTTGAAATTGTTAAACATGGAGGTATATATATCATTCAAAAAAATGTGTATTATTCTGCAGGTTGAGAAATTTGTGAAACCAAGCCTTTAAAGAAAGCATACTTTGTTGCTTAATGTTCCTCTATCTACTACTACTATTTATACATTAGCCGGAATGGTTTATCTGTACATAACTATGTAGACAATGTTCTTAACAAAGGTGAAAGAAAAAAACTTTTGTGGAGATATTGCTAAATAAAAATAAGCTCACATTAAGTATTTTAAAGGTAGTGTGCAGAGATAATTTAAATCATACTTTAAAATCAGAAAAAAATTATATGTGAAGCTGACAAATATATAAGCAACAGCTGGTGCACTTACTTATACACCAGATATAGAGCAGGCAAAATTATCGCTTATCGTATGGAATATTAATAATATGGTAAAGTCAAACAAAATAATATAGATATTTAGAATGCCTAATAGGAAGAATAAACAATAAATGTAAGAAATAAATGGCTATGTTCTCACTTTTAAATGTACATTAATAGCTGTAGATTTTAATTCACAAAAATACATGATTATCACCATTAAGGAACAATTCCATGAGAGAGGAAGAAATCAAAGCAACAAAACTACTTTTCCCCCACAGTATATTATCTATGTATATGATAGGAGGACTGAAGTGACATTATCCTGTCTTTCATTTGACTTTTTACAACTCTGTAAACATCTTTTCTCTTAATTGAAGTGAAATACATTTCTCTGGCTCTTATTTCCCAATGACATGTCAGAACAGAAGGGCTTTGGATCCTCTAAATCCACAGCCCGTCTTGGCATGTTTGACTTTTCTCTGTCTGAAGGTATTAGAGTATAAATAATTCCATCAGTGACTTTTCTGCGGTAGCCAATAGGAAGCTTGGAAGATTGAATCACCTCCTACTTGGAGCAATCACTTTCCTCTCTGCTATTGGAGGAGGTCCGCCAAACACACTCTATGGCAGATGTAGTTGGAAGACTCTCCTATATCATATTAATGGAGCAAGCACAATCCTCATTGCATCACATGCCCCAGAAAACTGCTGAAGAGAGACTAGTTTCTTTTTTGATTTATTCGGAAGTATTTGAAGCATATCAAATTGAGTATATATATTTATGTCTGAAGATATGCCTAACCAAAGATGCTTTCATTAGTATTGCTGAATTGTCTGTATGTACTATAAATGAAATGGCAAGTTGGTTGAAAATTAAGATTAATTCTAAAATGTATCCTTATGTAAAATATGAATGGAAATTTTAATGCTTTGCTTTATTGTATCTATGCTTCATTTGTCGCACAATTTGCATGATTTCAACCAAAAATGGGAAATTTGAGATTTTTAATACGTGTCCTCTCTTGCATATTAAAACTATCTACCAGCACTGTTCAAACTGGGGGCTGTCTCTTATAATTTAACATTGTAGTTATTCTATATGGAAAACCTTCTGCATATATTTGCTTAATATATGGACAAGACCTAGCCCTATTTTTATTCATGACCAATTATCATACATCGGTAGGAATTGTTGTCAAAATGCTTTCTGTATCGGCTAGAAATTCTAAAAATCATTTATCCTGAAGGGCACCGACTTGAAATATGCCATACATGAGATAAACTATGCAAATGTAGCACTGTGGTAGTTACAAAGAAGTTGAACACCTTCTCAACACTGGACTTTGAGTTTACCTCTAGTTTTTAAAATCTTACAAATGATTTTCTATACTAATGTGCAAAGCGTTTGAATATGGGGAAAAACACCCTGCTTGTTTCACATTTTAAACAGGTTGTTTTGGTCATTTAAGTCTTGAGTTAGAAACATGATATCAGGCTGCAAACGCTGCTGAATTGGCCAGAAATGTCAACTGTAGATGTAAAACAGCTGCTCTGCACTCAGAACAACTGTTTTGTATTCAGAATGGGACATTTCCACTTGAGAATGGCACAAAATCAAAACACTTTGCACATTCCTATTCTGACCTTTATACTGCATATGAAGTAGGTAGCTGCCCAATTTGAAATTTTGGTCAAAGTAACAGAGAACTGCAATTTGTTCCATTTTCTCAGACCAACTGTATTCCCTGAATAGGACTGTTGTAATCCCATTGGGAAAACGGCCAATTTCAACAAAAAAGTAGAATGAATGAATGAATGAATGAATG